AAAAAAAAAAAAAAAAAAAAATAAAACATCGATTTAACAATCGATACAGTGTTTTAACGTTCGTTAACGTACAATCTGACTTTTCAACGTGCACATTGACAAAAACATCTTGCTTTGCGTTTATTCAACTCTCTACCTTCTTACGAATATTTTGAACAAAACGTGCCTCGATATTTTTGAAATTCAAATTATTTGAGATGTCAACTTAAAAAATGACAAAGAATTATTCCAACATTTCTCCATATACCATATTCGAGTGGATGATTATTAAATTTTCGACGTTTCTGGATTTGACGTGATTCGTCGAATTCAAAAATTTCACGCTACTTATTTAAAAAAAAAAAATCACAAAATGACAAAATTGTGTACTGTGTGAAAAAATTGAAAAAAAAAAATTGATCCAAAAAAGAGAAAGACTCCCCACTTCGCTTCCACTAGCTTTTTCTCCTATCGCTTTCCTTCTATTCCGGAAGAAGAAAAATGGGCGGACGCTTGACAACTATATAGCCGGCTTATAGCCACGGAACACCGGGCGAGCGTAGTTCATAAATTCTCCTCCTTTTTAGATGAAAGAGTTCCTCGGAGGTGGTGGACAAGCGTTCGGCTTCGTGGCGAGAGGGAGGAGGGGGGAGGATATGATATATAGAGTTTTGATATCGGGGACCGTCCTTGGAGACACACGATTGATCTCGAAATGGGTCGGTAGAAGATAGGTGGGCGTAAATATCTAAAAAAAATTTTTGCCAGGTGCATCGCGCTCGTAAATCCGCAATTTATTCAGTGGCTGCCGGAGTTCACGTTTCATTACCTATCTCTCGCCAACCGAGCCAAGCGATACGATTGTTTTACGACCAATTCTCCTTTCTTTTTCCTTTCCTTCTTTCCCTCCCCCCTCTCTTTCTATAAGATAATTCAAAGTCTCGAATATATATATTCGATATATATTAGTATATATTCGAGACTTTGTCTCGATGTTATTGCTCGTTTTTCTATTCGAGTTAAATGGAATTGTATATATATATATTTTTTTTTAATACGTCATTGCAATTCGATATCTATACAAATTGTATTTATATTATATTGTACCCAAATCTCCTTTCTTTTTCCTTTCCTTCTTTCTCTCCTCTCTTTCCCCCCTCCCCTCTCTCTTTCTATAAGATAATTCAAAGTCTCGAATATATAGCTATATATATATGATTGTCTCGATATTATTGCTCGCTTCTCTTGTCAATAGAAATTTTTTTTTTTTTAATATGTCATTGCAATTCGATATTGAATCTATACGATATTATATTAGATTTATATTAGATTGTACTATATGACCAACTCTTCTTTCTTTTTCCTTTCCTTCTTTCTCTCTTTTTTTTTCTTCCCCCTCCCCCCTCTTTCTATAAGATAATTCAAAGTCTCGAATATATATTCGAAACTTTGTATATATACTGATTGTCTCAATATTATTATTATTCGATTTCTCTATTGGATTAAATGGAATTGTATATATACACATTTTTTTTAATATATCATTGCAACTCGATATCGATATCTATAATTTACGAATTTATATTAAATTGTATCATAAGAAATTATGTAAACTGTATGAATATTTTGCCTAGCATATTTTCATGTTGTCCTCTTATATTTCTTTTGTGTAATAACTTCTTTCCTGTATTGGCTCAATTTTGGTTTTTTTGAGAAGCGAGCAATTGTTGTACGAGTTAAATATTGAGTTCAATTCAAAAGTTTAAGTGTGGAAACTTAGTAAAAATCTTAAGGACAAAGATAAATCGGAAGCGAAAGTGGAAATTGGAAGAGAAGGATTAAAAATTAGGGCGTTTCGAACTTGTACTTATGTAAACGGTAGAAGTCCGTTTTTGAAACGGAATTAATAATCTGAGACGAGGAATGGATATTGCGCGATGATCGTTCTGAACGATGATTGGCCGATGAAAATCGTAAATGAGCCATCGTCACGGCCGAAAAAAGTTTATGACAACTGCACGGTAATAAAAGGAATAATTCGTTATTCTTCTCCGAAACTGGCAAGAAATCGATTAAGAAACAATTGGCATTAGTCGATAAATTTTTCTGCGTAACAAAAATTAGTCGAATCGAAATATGAAATTTTAATCCAATACTTGTTTCGCTTATTTACAATTGTTTTTAAAAAAATAAAATATTGGACACTCGAGAAGCAACGTTCGAAGAATTTCTTCGCGCTAAAGTCGTAAAATTTTATAAGAATGGAATATGTCGATTACGGAATTTCGTTGGGAAAAGATCATTAAAGTCAATGGATCGTATTTTCGAATAAAGATTATAAGTTTCGAAAATATTCTTCTATTCAACATTAAATCCGGAAAGTGATTCTTTCACCCTCGATTGAATCAAATGGAGTTCGATTTAATTCAATCAATATTCTTATAAAAAAAAATATTAAATATAAAAGGATGAACTAAAATTACAAATTTGATATTATTTTGACTATTAAATTTTAAAAAGTAATAATAACTCGATTAATAATGTTAATCTAAAAGATAAAAAAAAATAATAAATTAATTTCAAACGAAATTATCGTTGAAACTAATCGAACTAATTTAACCTATAATTGTATAATTATAATTTAAAATTCAACCTACAAATAAAATCCCAATATCTAAAACTAATAATATAAATAATAATTTCTAAAATCTAAAAATAATAATATAAATAATAATTTCGATCGAATAAAGATTATAGTTTCGAAGATATATTGTTTTTCTTCCGACCAACAAAAACATGAAATTTCACGTGGTATAACCTAATATATATATATATATTTTTCTTTCCTCGTCTTTCATACGATAAATTTTACAAGATCCAAATTGAAATATTAGATATAATAATAGCTAAGAAAACGTCAAAACAAAGTTCTCGAAATAACTTCCAGATCCAAATAATAATCGAAATATATTTTCGTCGCGATGTACGACGACACTGCTCACCGATTAAATATGGCCGTTTCAACGGAATTATAAAGAGAGAGAGAGAGAGATGGATAATGAAAAAGCGCGAAAGAACGGACGAAATCTATCACGCGTGAAACAATGGCCGTCAAATGAGATGGTAAAGGCAATTGACCGGATCCCGATGGTTTGCGTACCGTGCGCCCCCCTCCTTTGCTCTCTTTCTCTCTATTTACTCGGTTCTACGTGATCCCTGCAACGCAAACTGCACAGAATGCAGAAACCAGGTAGAAAATAGCTATCGTCGTTCACCGACGAAACACCAAAACATTTCCCCCTCCTCGCCAATAGGATTTCCGATTGACACTTTCGAATCGTTCCGTCAAAACTTCGGGCAAACTTTCCGTTTTCTCGTTACTTCGTTTTTCGATATTTTACGTTTATGAAATCTTAAATTTCTTGTGATTTTTTTTTTTTTTTTCTAGTTCACGCAGTAATCTCGAATCGAATTAGCGTTTTTGGATACATATTCTCGATCGATATAAAGAAATAATTTTTCAGAAATAGCAGGTAAATAGAAAAATTACAACGTTCAAGTAAATTTTTAATGGAAATTTTTTTGCTCGAAACACGTGTTCAAATGTGCACAGTTTTATTTATTTACATGGATTTTAAAATTTTCATATCATAAAAATCCGAGTTGTGGTTATTATTACGAACTAATGTAACGTCAAGTCACGCGATGAGAACGCTGGTCTAAATAATGC